GTTGGCACTTAATTTGCATACAGCCCTGATTAGCCAATGAAAAGAGTAGCTCGTATGCCAATTACCATTTTTCTCTTTTATTGGTATAGGATGTGTCTTCATCTTAGGAGAAAGGGAAAGGTGAAAATATTTGTGAAATTGCTTACAATTGGATCTTCAGGCAGAGGCTTGGATAAGGTTGCTCAGGGTGAGCTTGGGAGATGAAGAAGGAAAAAGGGCTAAGGAGAGAGTAACTTGGAGAAATACCAACATTTAAGGAATAGGCAGTCCGGCTGGTGTGACTCACCAGTTGAGTATTAACCCAGGAATCAATAGATCACTGGTTCGATTCCCAGACAGGGTACATGCCCAGGTTGTGGGCTTGATCCCCGGTAGTGGGTGTGCAAGAGGCAGCTGGTTGATGATATGCCTCTCTCATCTCATGGATGTTTCTATCTCTCTATCCCTCTCCTTTCCTCTCTCTCTAAAAATCATTAAAAACATTTTTTAAAAAGAGAAGTGGGCAGAGGATAAACAGCCTATGGAGGAGATTTAAAGGCACAGCAGAAAGTAAAAGAACTGGTCTCTAACATGCTTTCTTTTTCCTTCAGGAGGAGATTCGGTGTCCAACATCCCTGTCTATTGTTAAAGACAAAAACATAACTGAGAATCAAGAGGAGGACGATGAGGATGTCTTTGATCCCCCAATAGATCTGTCTTCAGACGAAGAATATTACGTTGAAGAAAGCAGATCCACGAGGCTTAGAAAGTCAGGCAAGGAGCGCATTGATAATATCAAAAAGGCATTTTCCAAAGAAAACATGCAGAAGACACGGCAGAATTTTGACAAGAAAGTCAACAGAATGAGAACTAGAATAGTGACCCCAGAGAGGAGAGAGCGGCTAAGGCAGTCAGGAGAGAGGTTGAGGCAGTCCGGAGAGAGGCTGAAGCAGTCAGGGGAAAGATTTAAGCAATCTATTTCTAACGCAGCTCCATCGAAGGACGCTTTTAAGATGCGTGGCCTTCGGAAAGCTAAAGGAGGAACGGTTGCCAAAGGTCCAGAAGAGGTCAGGGAGATGGGCGTGGACATCATTGCCGGGAGCCAGTCTCTGGGCCCCATCAGTGAGCTCTATGGCAATGAGCTCAGTGAAACAGACCATGAGGAGGCCAGGGTGGTGCATCCTCCCAGTGAAGGGGAGGAAATCCCAACTCCTGAACCTTTAAGAGTTACTTTTAAACCCCAGGTGAGAGTAGATGATGAATCTCTTTTGGTAGATTTAAAGCAGTCTTCATAGGGAGAAATTAAGTATATTTTCAGTGTAAATCACCTTAATCATGCAGTTCTAGTTTAAGTAGTATAGTCACTTAACCTTTATAGGCCATTTAGGAAACAATAAATGGTATGATTTTTATTTCTATGTTTAAACTCAGAAAGGCAATACCAATATTATATACACTTCCTAGTAACTTCCTTGGGGCTTCGTTCTTCTCCTCCAGGCTTATAAGATTCTAGCAGCATCCTCTCATGTCATTCTCATGGCAGCTGTGGATTCTTAAAAGTTTTTTTCTCTTGCACACCAGAAAAATAGTTTCCTAGAGAGGGCCAGTTAGGTGTTTAGTAGTTGGGCAGATTTGTGGCCATGATTTGCAAGTGAACTTTCAATTTTGGTCTAGATTTAAGGGGATGGCTGACCTCAAAGGGGATTATATCATCCATATGTTCAAATCAACAGATTGGTTAGTAAATTAGCAATCACACGTCTTTTTTATGCTTTTGCACGAAGAATGGAAGTTCTGAATTGAGCATTTGGTTCTGGGTCACAGCTGTTCTTACAGTGAGCGCTTGACACGTTGCCTGCTCATAAGCTCATCAGTAAATTGGAGAGGGTAGGCTTGTCCTGCCCATCTCAGAGCACTGTTGTGAAGATCCAAGGAAACACTGTGCATTCTGGGGGAACAAGAAACACATCCAGTGGAAATGAGCCCTACTGATTTCTCAAACACAGAATCAGACTAATTCCACCTGAAAAAGTCCTGCAAGCCACGTGGTGAGGACAGAGGTTGGACAGACACTCAAGTTGGTCTTCAAGTCTTTCCACAGAATCAGCAATGAAAAATGTTTATGTGACATCTTTTTTTTTTTTTAATCAAAGATTAAAAAGAAACCTTGGTTTTGAGTTGGATCTTAAATTTTCTTGAAAAGTCTTTTTCTAATTTTCTTTTTTTTTAGATCTGTGTTGGACTATAGAAACATTTGTTTGAGGAGCGTGCTGCGTGAGAAGAATCTGGTTTTGTAATAGGGAGGAGATGATGGAATTGTTGAATTTGAAGAGTTTGGATAACAATCAGCTTTCAGGTCAGTTTTGGATGCTCGTGTAGTAATTGTAATCAATGTACACACATCATAGACAAACTCAGAATAAATCAACTTTAAGATATTTGACTCAGTTACCCCAGATATTTGGGTTTGGGAGTTTGATTCAGCATCATTTCTTCTGCAACCTGCATGAACACATAAAATCATACATTGTTCATATATTGAAAACTAAAGTGTATACAGCGTTGAACACTACAATGGGTAATTTAAAAAATGTTACTTAAAGAGAGCTTGGATGCCTAATCACATATTTCCTTAAAGCCATAATAAATTTGAATTTTAAAAAAGACATTTTACTAAGTTTGATGTCAGTGTCCTATTTATAAGTATTGTTACTAGTAATGAATGCAAACAGCATGGTGTGAATTTGATATAACAACCTTTCTTATAAGAGGTAGGTTTCTAGGTTAAGAAGAATATAAACAAACATAAGCTTTTTCTTTTTTTTCTAGCCCTGTGCAGACTAAATATCAATTGGGCCAAAACACTCTTCAGCAAATACCCCTTTTCAAGGAATCTTTGTAACAGCTGTGTGCTTACTGACCCATTGTATAAACAGATTTGACATGTTATGGAACTTTTCCCATGTAGACATATTTGAATTTTGATGCTGAAGGAGTTATAACATGGTCAGCTCTTGATCATGGTAGACGTTGTACAAACCCAGAAACACTCAAGCAAGTTCATGTCCTCAGAGGTTCATTGTGATCTTGTCCTGCACTGTTGAATTAGGATTTTCCCCTCCGAATTGCTCTCTCAAATTTCTCCCCATATTTAGGATATTCCTCATTTCTGCATGCATGATATTTTCTTCTTTTCTTTCCCCTGTTTTCTTGATGTAAAGAATGGCTATTTATAATGGGCTGCAAAGTCACACATTCCCACTTAATGCAAGGAGTAGGCTGGTCAGCGTTCCTTATTGTAAAAGACAACACAACCAATTTTCTGCTCATTTCACTCTTCTCTGTTTTTGAAATTATACATGTCAGATTTTAAACAATTTATTCAAATAAAACTACTAGCAGGATGTACCCCCTTTCTTTGTGTGAGGCAGGACAATGCAACATCCATGGGTCCCGAGGGCATGGGGCCACTTCCAAGCTAAGCTCTTCCATAGAATGGACGGCTGGAGTAGGAAAGTGCCACCCTGTCCCCTGCACGGGATGGTCCAGGGCTTTCCTGGAGACTGTGTGGTGGCTGGTTCTGGCTTACAGGTGAGAGAAACCGGCCAAATGTGAATTAGTAATAAGAGGTGCGTGAAACTTCAGCTTGCTGAGATTGTATTGGTAGTGTGTGCGAACTCTCCTGAACAAGTTTTCATAAACATATAAACTAAAACAGTATTTTCATTTTGGCTTTCTTCTTTGCCATGCCTGCACATCTAAGGGTTTGCTTTAGAACAAAGTTCATCCTGATTCTATCAGCTGAAAAGCATGGGGCCTGTCACATAACATATTCCACAGAATCATAGTTAACTGCAATTCCATTACATGAAACTACTGCACCCCCTCCCCCCGGCCCCGTTTTTCTGACACACGTTTTCTATAGCTTCTTTTATTGAAATACGATTTTTAAAATTACAAATTATGATCCCCAAATAAGTTGCATGGCATATTTGAGCCAGGTCCAAGGGGCATGGTCCCCGTGGTCTCATCCTCAATTCTATGTGAATTTGGGGTATGCTAGTACCTGGTTTGAGGTGGATGAAAATGGAAGAAGCCTCTGCTGAATTTTGTGTGTCTCCTGTGACCACTTCTGAGTTACATGATGTCTGAGGATTTGTAGCTGCTCTTGTCAGGGCAGACTCCCTCGGCGATTTGTAAGCGGATAGGCGCTTTAGGATAACTATCTCTTTGTGCGTCTCAGGACATCCAAAGATTCCCCCAGGATAGAATGGAGAAGCAGACTATCCTCAGGCTTGAATGTATTTGGGGCACCTTTCTAAATCAGCTGTGCTTGTCCAGGGCCCTCGCCAGACTGTCCTGCCACTTGATGCCTTTGCTCATTCTGGGAGATGACTTTCAAGTTCAATGATAATGTCAATTTTCTTGTTTTGGCTTTCCTTGGTGACCTCCCCATCCCCAAGGAGGGGCATGATTGAATTATTCCATATATTCAATATATATAGCACCTTTATATGCCAGATTCTGTGTGTGGCACTGAAGATTCAAAGAAGAATAGAACACCCTTCCTCTCTCCCAACCCTTATCTCTGGCTCCGGATTTTGACAGACAGTGAAGCAAAAACTCAACAATGCGACTAGTGCTGTGTGTAAGATAATGGAACCGTGGAGAGGGAGGTGTTGGTGTAGAATGTTGATCCTATATCTGTCATAGCACTTGTCTAGTTTGTGTCCCTGTCCTCTAGACTGTGCTTCTCAAGGGCAGGAACTGTATTTTACTCATTTGGGTCACCAGCACTTGGAGAGCCATCTTTAGGCATCGGGCATGCAGAGATGAAGGACATGGTCCCTGCATTTGAGCTTTTCCACGGGTGGAGGAGATGGCCACGTCACCCAGCATCATGGTGCTGTGATAAGAGCCTCAGATTTCAGAAAGGATGACGGGAGCGCGGAGGAAGAAGCATGTAACAAGCTGGGAGGGGCTCTGTGATAGCCAGAGGAAATGATGCTTAAGTTGGCATTCGAAGACCAATCCAAAATCAGCTAAATGATGTAGAATTCAAGCCAAGTTACAGCTGGAGCGGTTCTGTGACAGTGTTTTGGGTTTTACATCAAAGGCCATAGAAAACCACTGAGGGGTTTTAAACTGAGTGCCATGATCAATGTTTTTGAAAAGTTGCTCTATTAACTCACCAGAGGAAGGGAGACCAGTTCCTTGGGCCCTTGCATTTCCAGGTAAGAAAGTAGTACCCGACCTAGAGCATTGACACGGGCAGAGCTATGAACAGGGTAAACTTGGATGTGGGTTGTGATGGGAAGTGAATGAGAGCCAGGTTTCTGACTTGGGCAAGTGGCTCTGCCATTCGCCGAGACAGGGATTCTAAGATAACACTCCTGAGCCTCTGACGGCCTGGGTTGCTGGTCCCTGGGCCCAGCATTAGAAACAAAGGGGAGCTGTGACTCTACCCCGGAAGCTCCCACCCTGGAGCCCTCCACCCCCTACTCTAGCCACTGTGGCTCTCCCCTCAGCTTGAAGAAAAGCCCGATTTTAACTGATCCTTTCTCGACTCCAGCAAGCTCCTCAGCCTCTCCACCAGGACTCTAAAGTCCTTGAGAAGCAGAATTGCCTTTCAGGTCCAAGTCCATTGTGAGAGCTTCCCTCCCATCTCTGGCTTAGCTCAAGGCCAAGTGTCTGCTTGCCATTGTGTGCACCAAAGAAAAGCTACTTCTGATTCTTTGAATGGAATTTTTCTCTTAATATCCGTTGTTTGGCACCTGAGGATTTCAGGAAACGCTGTACTTGATATTGTAGCTGACACTTCAGAGAAAGCTGCTGTGACCTGGTACACTGGCCAAGGCCAAGGCCATGCTCATGTAGCTACGCACATCAGCTGCTGTGGTTGCAATAGGACTGTCTGTCTCCTTATGGGTACTTCGGGGACTGTCCCATTAGTCTGAGTCATGTCATCACAAATGTATTAGGGGCTTATGGTGGGGTTTGATGCAACCCATTCCTCTTAAAGGTTCTGATGGAAGAGTTCATATAAGGATTGCCAACAAAGTGGGACCAAAGTGTCATCTTTATTACTGGCTCGTACATGTCCAACAAATCCTTCAAACGTAGAGCATCTGGTAAATTCTTTTGCAGAATGTGGCTTAGACTTAAGATAAGAGATAGACCCTCCTCTTGTTAAGCCCAGATTTCAGGATCCCCAGTAGACCACCAGGGAGCCAGCCAAGTCCAATGCAAAAGCATATAGAGTCTTTATTTGAGCTAGCTCGGCTCCCCGACCACACTCGCCGATGCAGCGGCAGGGGGCATAGAGAGCTAGCTCTGTGGGAAGAGGGGTTTTTTTTGGGGGGGGGGGTTGGAGTAAGGGGAGGAGAGAGGACTGTGGGCCCTGCCGATTGGCCAGGTGCAAGTCAGGGTCTTGTTACACAGTATGTGGTTGTGTCTATGGCGCGCACTTTCCTTGATTGTCATTGGTTAGTTTAAAGAAATCCTGGGTGTGGCTAGCAGAGGCTTGGGCTTCTGGGAAGAAGCTCCTTGCCGAGCACATGGCTAAGGCTGCTGCCGAAAAATGGAGGATCCGGGGTTAGATGGAGGGCATAGCCCTCGCCCTTTCACTCTCTCCCTACTACATGCTCTTGTGGGCGGTATGGAGAGCAAGGTTTGTGGAGCAGAACAGTCCATTTTCTCAACTAGCAGGGAAGCCACAGGCCTGTTTCACCTACTCCTCCAGAGGGAACTGTGAGAATGAAGGCCTCCCTTCTGAGCAACCCAGTTCAGAAGGACAGGTAGCAAGGAGATGAGTTAGAGCAGTGGTCGGCAAACTGTGGCTCGCGAGCCACATGCGGTTCTTTGGCCCCTTGAGTGTGGCTCTTCCACAATATACCGACTTCTGCGCATCACATACAGTGCGATTGAAACTTCATGGCCCATGCGCAGAAGTCGGTGTTTTGTGGAAGAGCTACACTCAAGGGGCAAAAGAGCCGCATGTGGCTCGTGTGCAGCGGTTTGCGGCACCGCAGTTTGCAGACCACTGGCCTAGACTAATATGCAGATCTAAAAAATTGCTTAAAAGACAAATGGAACTGTATTCTCACCCTTATTTCAAGACTAGGAGCCCAGTGCACGAAATCACGCAGCCCGCCCCCCACCCGCCCCATGGCCTTGACACCCGAACCTCTCCATGCAGAGCTCCAGCGTGCCTG